CTAATCCCTACTTACTAATACTAATATTAGTAAGTAAATTTAGCTTTATTTTAGCTTACTAATTATATTAGCTAATAATAGCTTATAAATTAATTAATATTATATATTACATTAATTTTTAAAATATAATATAATATAGTAAAACTACACTATATTATATTATATTAAAATTCACTAAAAACTATAAAACTACACTACTTTTAATGCTCTAGTACTAGTAGCTAGATAGTAACTTGCTACTACGGCTAGACGGTGAATTGCTACTACTAGAACTTTTATTATAGCGGCTAGATAGTAAGTTGCTGTGTTAGAGCCCTAAGCAATATAAGACAGTAAATGTTCAACTAAAATACCTATATAATACGTAATAATACTACACGAATTTTAAGATAAGAAGTATATTAAGCTAGGCTAGTATTATAGCACTAAAATACTATTTAAGAATTAGAAATAATACTAAGTATAAATATACTATTAAGTGTAAGGCCTAAATAAACTACAAATATAAAGCGAAATAATGCCTAGCCTTAATTGTTAAGCCCGCTAGAACAGCTAAGTGCCACGCTAATTGTGCCTAGCCTCAATTAACAGTCTATTAGTGGATAGTAGTATCTATTACACTAGCCCTTTTTATAGCAGCATAGTACCTGTTATAGTAGCACCTATTATAATAGCACCTATTATAGCGCCTTTTATAGTAAATAAATTACTATATAAGCTCTTCGCTTAAAGCGCTTAAATAGCGTATAATTAAATTATTAAGTAATAAATAGATTATAAATTAAGAAGTGTTATTAAATTATTCTAGGTTTTTCTTTAACTTTATTTATATTTACCTTAAACCCTTATATTTATTAAAGTTATTATAGTCATAAACTCTTATTAAGTAAGCCTAAAAGAATTAAAGTTTATTAAACGTAACTTTCTTATCTTAATATCTTAGCTTAAGGTATAACACTAATTACTTACTAAGCCTTTTAAGATATTAGAATATTAGGTAATCCCTTACTTAATAAGAAGAGTAAAACCTATTAAACCTTTAGCTTAAAAGCGCGTACTTATTTTAAAAGTAAATAATAAAGTATTAGTTTATATTATAGCTTTTAACTATTATCTTTACATTAGACTTTACGCGTAATAGTTTTTACTTCTTACTTAAGTGTATTATTACCAGAGTATTGGAAGTAGTGTAGTTTTGTAGTTTTGTAGTTTTTGTAGTTTCGAATATAAAAAATTATATTAAATGTAATAAAATACTTATAGAATTATAAGTTTTACGAATAATTAGCATAAATCTAAAATTATAAGCTTATAATAAAAAAGTGGGTCCTTATATACTATTATAAGCCTAAAACTTCAAAAACTACATTTTGTAGTTTTTGTAGTGTAGTGTAGTGTAGTAAGTTTTTAGAAAACTATATAATCTAGTTTTTAAGCTTACAAAAAGCTAAAGGGACCCACTTTTTTAAATAAGCTGATTGGCTATGATATTAGCTATTTTATGTATTTATTATTATAATTCAAGTATTTTATTAGATTTATTATTAATTATTTAAGCTTTTTTAAAAAATGAAAATGTAGTTTTCTTGTCAATGCTCTGATTATTACGTGTGTAATATAAATATAATATTTTAGCTTTATCTTATTATTTAACTTACTTATATTAGCGTATATAAACTCTACTAGTAATTAGCGCTCCTTTAAATTATATAAAGGTTAAGGATTTTACGCGTTTAAACTTAAGTTAAGAAATAAACTAGCTTTATTCTTGAATTATAAATTTATTTCTATAATATTAATAGTTTTAAAAAAGTCTTATTATATTATTATCTTAGCTAGCTTATAAAGATATACTCTTATTAATTACACCTTATTTCTTAAGGTATAATACGTTTAATATAATACTATATTATAGGTTTTTACTTCTTTAATACTTCTTAACTTATAATAAACTTCTTAGCTTAATATATTTTAAAGTTTAATAAGTTTAACTAGTATTAGATTTATTTTAATATTTTTAAGCTTTAAATAGCTAGTATTAATTAAGGCTTATAAATTAATATAATAGCTTATATACCTAGCTACTTTTAGTAAAGTCTTATTTAAGAGACTCCTAAGAAAGGCTATAATAGTATTACATTAAATACGCTAGTTTATATACGCCTAGTAAGTAGCTGCGTTTATATAATATATAACCTATTAAAGTTAAGCTTACGTAATAATAGTTAAATAAAGTTAATTAGTAAAACCTAAACTAATAATTATATCTTACCTTTAATATCTTCTTTAAAGCCTTAATAAATATTAGAGCATTAAAAGTAGTGTAGTTTTATAGTTTTTAGTAAATTTTAGTATAGTATAGTATAGTGTAGTTTTACTATATTACTACTAATTATATTAGCTAATAATAGCTTATAAATTAATTAATATTATATATTACATTAATTTTTAAAATACAATATAATATAATAAAATTATACTATATTATATTACATTAAATTTCACTAAAAACTATAAAACTACAGTACTTTTGATACTCTAGTACTATTTAACCTAGCTAATAGACTTTACCTTTACTAGATAATATAAGTATATAAAAAGGCTAAGAAAAGTTTAATTAAAGTTAATAAAGAATAAAGAATTAAGTGAATAAAAAACGTGTAAAAGCTTTAATCTATAAGAAAAAATAATTAATAAAACTAATTATAAAGGTAAAACTTATTAAATTAAAGACTTATACGTGTACTTATTCTCTTATACTAATAACGTAGCTACAATTAAATATACTATTTAACTTCCTTTAACTTGTAAGTATAAATACTACTATATATTAATTACTAGAATCTTTAAAACGTTTAATATAAGTATTAAAAGGTTTATAATAAATATTAAGAAGTTATTAACCTTACTTAATAAAGCCTTATATTTAATAAGAATAAGCTTATATACTTTTAATACGCGTTAAAGAATACTATAAATAGATTTACTAGTAATATTCATTATTAAATTACCTAATTTATATAAAATAAAAAGAAGTGTAATAATATCTTTTTTTACCTTTAAGATATATAAGCTTAAAGTACTCATTAAATTTAAGCTCTTTATTATAAACTTAAATACACTTAAAACTAAATGTAAGTGTAAGTAATAGCTATGAATAATATTATTAAAGAACTTTTAGCTTAAAAGTATATTAGTTAAAATTAATTAAACACTTATAATTAAGTGTAATTATAAAGTATTTAAGACTTAATAAAAACTATTATTAATAAAGTAATAAAAAAATAAATAATAAAAAATAGGTAAATATTAATAAAACCCTTTAAAAAATTAGGAAAAGGGTAGTATTTATATAAGCTATATAATTCTTTATTATATTACTTATATAGCTATTAATTATACGTTATATTAAGACCTAGAAATTATAGACTTTATAACTCTTATTGAAGAAATCTATTCGCTTAATATATATATATATCTCTTATTAAACTTACTAGTAGTTATAATTTTCCTAGCTATTTACTTGTAATACTTACTTTAACTTTAATAACCTTAACTTATTTAATAGTAATAATAATAAATAAGGTAGCTATTATTTATTCGAACCTTTAAATAACCTAATTAATCTTTACTTCTTAATACTAATATTAATAAGTAAATTTAGCTTTATTTTAGCTTATTAATTATATTAGCTAATAATAGCTTATAAATTAATTAATATT